ATTGCCTCATCCACCCGCCCAATCGCCATAGAAGCGTCTGTGCTGCCATGGCATATTCGCCTAACCACTGGACAATTGATGAAAGAAGTACCGCAAGTCACTATTCCCTTTGTAATGAAATATGAGAGCCTTAGTGATCTAAACACTCTTAAATTTCTTTACAGAGGGAGCACAATCAAGTCCAAGTGCGTAGCTATACAACTTTTTCCGTAGGTCTAGGGCTTTTAGTTTCAACGATGCCACGGTTAAGAATTGAATTAGTACCATTTGCTCGTGTTGGTAAGTAAGAATCAATTCCAAGTGGTTCTCATTTATATGGATTATTCCTCGACCTTTGAATGCACAACACAGTACTCCTACAACATAATGTAAGTAAGTAAGTAAGTACATCTTCATAATTATAAATTCAATCGATATGTTTTATTTTATGTTTCAATGTTAGCCTGTTCAAACATAAATAGTGCAGCCTTAGCCGACTAAATTTGTCTTCAAAGTTTTTATGCGTTATTGTTCAACTTGGGCAAAAAACTTCATATAATCAACTACGATTACAAGTAGACCAGTATTTTGATGAGCATTTTTACTACTGGATATCTACAATGGTTGAGTATGTTAATTGTATGCATAACATAGCTTGGTGTCCACATATGTGTAATTTAGGCGTGGACACCGGGACATTTTCATCCTGGATCCACCCCCGTCCACTGTAGAAGGCAATCACTACCTGCGTCCCCAACCACAACCCGCATCCCGTTGAAACAACATATGCTCCTACTAGATACTCCCTCCGGTCTTTTTTAGTTCGCATATAAGATTTGACTGAAGTCAAGCCTCGTAAAGTTTGACCAACTTTATAGAAAAAAGTACCAACATTCACAATCTGAAATCAATACCAATAGATGTGTCATGACTTAAAGTTTCATATGTATAACTTTAGCATGGCAGATGTTGATATCTTTTCATATAAATACGGTCAAACTTTGTGAAGTTTGACTTTAGAAAATTCTAATATGCAGAGTAAAAAGGACCGGAGGGAGTACCTATCAAGAGGTCCCAGATTTAGTACTCATAGTGATATGGTCAATTATAGATTGTGCCCATGCATTTTGCGGGGACCGCCCTGCTAGTTCCTGTTAAAAACACATTATTAGGGTCGTATGAGTGTAGATGCATGGTCCATGAACATCACTCTCAAGAAATAATTATAGGCATTAATTTTCACGAACTTCACAAGTTTTGAAAACAGCTATAGCGGGGCTATAGCGGGCTATAGCGAGGCTATAGCGGCAAATTATACATGAAATCATTTAGCGGCAACATCCTCGAACAGCTATAGCAAAGCTATAGCGGGCTATTTAAAACTATGAATTAAACAGAAGCTACTGGTATTTAACTTTAAGAAAACAGCTATAATTGTAGTAAGTACCAAAACAGTACACTGGCAAAGGGTGCTGTATATGAGTGTACTAGCACGTGAAGAAATTTACACAAAACGAAACACGTGGCCAGTGAGGGGACCGCATGTGTATGGGCTAAATCTGGGGCGCAACACTGTCTGTCAGGTGGATATGCGCCATCCATGTGGGCTATCACGAGCAACACGCATGCACATAAGCTGCCCACACGAGGTTTTGCTGTTGTACTAGACTAGCCATAGTGACTAGTAAATTAGACTAATAACATGCATATATTACCAATCTTTATTACTACCTATACAATAGAAAGTAATATATGTGTAGTGCCATGCAATACTTCATTTATTAGATTATAGACTAATTTTGTCTTGATATGTGTGATGTTATTCATAGACTTTTCGGCGATATTCGTTCAGTGGGAGGAGACGTTCTCGTCGACTATGAGAAGCCTGTGGTGACTTCGTCTATCTTAATATGTGAATCTGGCTCGGTATCTCGGAGGTGCTCATATGGGTAGAGTATGCCTGTGTGCGTTCATAGGGATGAGTGTATGTATGGATAAGTAAATATCTGTGATTGTACTCAAAAAAATCATACTAGATGGTTATTCTCACAGATTTTATAAACTATGTTGTCGGCGTAATTTCACAAAGATGATGCCCCGCATTGCAGACCCTCCACACCGACACACCAATCTTATAACCGCACAGGACAAACCTAATAAATCGCCATGGCGAACACGCTTCATCTACGGACAATGCATGGGTGATATCGTTTCTCTATCAAGGGAGCATGATCGTAGTTATTTCCACGCCGAACACGCTGGGCACGTCACTTTCTGTAGTTAAAACTGGCTGGGCGTACACGTATACTGAAATATACAACTTGTACAATTCAGCAGCCAGTTCGCCATGGCGATCAGATAATGCATGGCTTGTCGACGCCTTCAATATATAGGCAGGCGTGGTAGGTCCACGTGGCTTGGACCCACGCCGAGTTGGCAACAGCTCATGATTCCACGTCTTAAATTCATGAAGCGGCCGTTAATAACTCATAATTAATCACCAATTAATTATTCATTCCTGGATGCAAAAACTAAATGCACTCATGACATATGCTTGAGCGCGCGGCGGAGGAGGAGGAGCTCATATGTACCACTTCTCTCCTCAGGCTCCAATAGCATGTACTGTAGAAGTGAAACCCATATAATTGGGCCTCCAGTCTCCTATATTCATTAGGTGTGACTAAACTTCGCACCACCTAGTCATGACATCCACATGGACCTTTAGAGATTTTCTAAAAAAAATATGGGCTTAAAATCCATATATTTCTCAACGTTGTCATCCACCTAATGTTCACGCACATGCACAACTAAGTTTTCGAACATACTCTGCGGCACACCTATGAATTAGACTTATACTTTGTAAGTTGCATATATCTGTGGAGGACTTTGCTTTGGGAAAATCACTCTAGATTTATTATGAAGATTGGTAAGGAGTAGAAAACACCCAAACATAAAAGGAATTCAATCGAGGGTCCTCCATCATTGAACAATCACTATTGCTGCCAAAACGAGCCGTTGACATGCCACTCTTGTAGGTCCTATACTGGAGTCAGATTAAACTTGTTGGTGATAATTAGAAAGTCTTCGTGCATATGCCCAAAAGACCAACATCCGAGAGCCGTGGTTGTCACAATTTAATCCTTGACTGAATCTGAAGCACCCGATATGCATCGAATTTCGACATTGCACACGCATGGTGACAAATACTAACATCGCTTCCCCATGGAGACGGAATGAATCTACATTGGAGTTCCATCGATTCCGGCCTGATGAACGAACTTGAGGACGATAGAAGCCCTTAAGATCAGCTCGAAGATAAAGCGTTGTCATTCATCTGAATACTACTCTTATGAGAAAAAAAAAAGACTAAACTAAACTACTAGTCAGAGCCGGGGCACCGGAATCACTGTCCAGTGGTTCGTCGGCGAAACTTGAAGGGTATGAGTGCCATAGTAGCCGCAGTTAAAAGCGACATCCTAGTAAAGTGTCTTATTAAAAAAATGACAATAACTTTCGATCCACAATCTCCATAGAGGACTGACCAAATAAACAACCCCACTTAGCACATGGCCTATGCGTAAGCTATCTAGAAAATGACAAATTCACAGTTTTGACCATTTTTCTTAAATTAAGCATGATTTGACCATATGTGCAAAAGTTCTTCGGATTTGATCCTTTTTCTATCATCATTGTCTTTGGTGGTAGAGTAGCACATCCTACCGCCAAGGCCTTTTGCAATAGGACTTACCTACACTGTCACACCCTATTTGTGTGAAAACCACCTTACCTCCATGGTCTTTGGCGGTAGGGACATGCATGCAATTATGATGGGGCCACACATGCAATAAAACTGTTGTTTTATGCGGAAAGGACCCTATAACGATAGGGTAACACATCCTACCGCCATAAACCATGGCGGTAGGGTCTTTTCGCATAAAATGGACGTGACGGCGCAGGTATGTCCTGCCGCTAAAGGCCTTGGCGGTAGGATTTGTTGCCCTACCGCCATAGACAGTGGTAATAGAAAAAGGGTCAGATCCGAAATAAATTTTCACATAGGATCAGATCGTGCTAAACTAACGGAAAAAGGGTCAAAGCAGTGAATTTGGCCATAATAAACACAATTGCAGAGTGGTGCTACTAGTCCTTCCAATCACAAATAGTTAGCCCAGAATTGTGTACGATATAAAAGCATCACACACGGTACGAAATTAGCCGTGCGTCCAAAATGGAAACGTAGCATGCCTATAAAAGAACCGATAGGACAGCTATCAAGTTATCAACTGCACTCGCACAGTTCAAGATAGCCATGGATCTAGGTGCTATTGCAACTCCGCAGTCACTATGGCTCGTCCTTCTCCTCTTCCTCATCATCGTGTACCTCGCGACGTCGAGTTCTAGAGCAGAGAAGCTGTACAGCAAGCTCCCATCGCCTCCATTCAAGCTCCCCTTGATCGGGCACCTCCACCTCGTCGGGTCTCTGCCCCACGTCGCCCTCCGCGACCTGGCAACGAAGCACGGCCCCGACGTGATGCTCATCCGCCTGGGCGTCGTCCCCACGCTCGTCGTCTCGTCGCCTCGCGCTGCCAAAGCCGTCCTACGCACGTACGACCACCTGTTCGCGTCCCGGCCGCACTCCCCCGTGGGCGACATCCTCTTCAGTGGCTCCACCAACATAGCCTTCGCCCCCTACGGCGACTACTGGCGCCAGTTAAGGAAGATCGTCACCACCCACCTCCTCAGCGCCAGGAAGGTCCGCTCCAACCGCGCTGCCCGTGAGACAGAGTTGCGGCTCGTCCTGGCCAGGGTAAAGGCCGCGACAGCCGCGAGCTCGGCGGTGGACGTCAGCGAGGTCTTCAGCTACTTCGCCAACGACGTGATATGCCAGGCCGTGCTTGGCAGGCTGCCCCGGGAGGCGGGCCGGAACAAGATGTTCCGGGAGCTGCTGGAGATTAACTCCAAGCTCCTAGGTGGGTTTATACTCACCGACTTCTTCCCCAGCCTTGCAAGGCTGGACATGGCGTCCGGCAAGGCGGTGAAACAGAAGAAAATATGGGACGACCTGCTGGACGACCTCATCGACAAGCACGCGAGCAAGACGGTGATGGACGAGGACGAGCAAGACTTTATCGACGTCTTGCTCTCCGTTCAACAAGACTACGGCTTGACCAAAGATAACATCAAGGCAATACTCATGGTATGCGCTATGCAGATCGGTCGAGTTCCACTTCCATTAATTAATTCGCACAAGTTTTCTATTTAGAATTATACTCAAATTTCTGACTGATATTTTATGTACGAACTAATCGATGCAGGACATGTTTGAAGCTGGGACAGACACAACGTACGTATCGCTCGACTACGCCATGGCTGAGCTGATGCGGAACCCACGTGCGATGACCAAGCTGCAAGCCGAGGTGAGGAGCTGCGTCACCAAGGGCAAAGAAATGGTCACCGAGGAAGACCTTGCAAGCATGAGCTACCTCAAGGCCGTGATGAAGGAGGCAATGCGTCTGCACCCGTCGGGGGCTCTCTTGATACCCCACCTCTCCGTAGCCGACTGCGAGGTAGAGGGCTACGCCATACCCTCCGGGACGCGCTTAATGGTCAACGCGTGGGCTCTAGGCAGGGACCCCACCTGCTGGGAGAATGCGGAGGAGTTCATGCCCGAGCGGTTCTTGGAAGGAGCCATGGATGCCGCTTGCGACTTCCAGGGGAACGACTTCCGTTTCTTGCCGTTTGGGTCTGGCCGAAGGATATGCCCGGGCATAACCTTCGCCGCCGTCACATTCGAGATCATTCTCGCCAACCTCATCTACCACTTCAACTGGGAGCTGCCGGAGGGATCCCCGGGCGTCGATATGACGGAGGAATACGGGATCGATGTGCATCGGAAGGTGAAGCTGCTTCTTGTCCCACGCATGGTCTAGATTGGTTTTCAATGATCCATATCCTCGTGCCAGTAGTCTATCTACAATAATTAAGTCAGGGCTTTTGCCATTGATCAGTCACCAGTTTCTTTTTTCAGTCCATTTTTAAAGCAGTTTCATGAGAGAGCCACCGGTGGTTAATGAAAGGAAGCAGGATTGCTGATTTTGGCCCAATCTTTATATACGTGTGTCAATGTGTACCTATGCATGTGCGTGCGCAGCTATATTTTAGCATCGTCTTCACTGCTTTCTAGTGAAAGAGAAATATTCGTCATCACATTGATTTTTACCTTTTATTTTATGATTGATTCGAGAGAAAATTGTGATTTTCCATTAGTGAATTCTAAATTATAGTCTAATATTAATAGATGGCGTGCTTCTTTGCTGGGGAAAAGACGTTCTCACCGTACATGAAATGGGGACACGATGCCCGATGTTATACCGGTGGCTCCACCTCCTCCCCTTGTCCAAAACCCACAGGTCACATTGGATGCTGTAACAAGCTTGCACCTCATGTTGGCAGGGATCAGCACATCCTGCCACGTCTTTTCCCCAGCATGAGCACCTGCACGGTTTTGAACTCAAAGATGCGATCCCATCTGTACGGGACGTGAACCACCTTGTACTTACTTGTCGTCGGGTGGTACACAAAGTTGTATGCCTCATGCCATAGCTTCCCCCTTTCGTTTTCAGCTTTTCTGTATCGGTTTTTATTCAAGGTTTTTATTTTTTTAAATACACAAAAAAAATCTCATTCGTCAACTCTTTCAAAACCATGAACTTTTTTGCAAATTCGCAAAAAGAATAAGAAGCTTTCTCCTAAAATTCCTGATTTTTTTACACTCAAATATGTGACCCCTCCCTCAAAATCATGAACTTTCTTCAAATCCACGTGACACACAAACTTTTTGAAAAATCATGATTTTTTTAAATTCTTGAGGTTTTTGAAATACATAAACTTTCTAACCTATAAAGTTTTTTGAAAGTTCAAAGTTTCTTAGACTCATTTTTCAAAAGTCAAACAGTCAACTGATCAACCAATCAACCATTTAAAAATGTATCTCATATTTTAAAAAAAGGTTAACGTGTTTCAAACAAATGTACCTGACATGCTTAGAAAATTCTATGCAATATATAAAAAGTTTGTGTAATTAAAAAAAATTGACTTACACAGCTCAAGTTCGACCTCCATAGCACGATCGAGCCCGCGTTCACAGGCCGAGTCAAACTTCTATAGCCCAAGCCCGACTTCCATAGCCTTTAGTGGACTTAGTTTGACTTCCACAACCCAAGTCAAGTCCCACAGTGTCGGTGTTCATGGTGCACGAACAATCAAAAAACTGCAAGAGCAAGCAAGCTACGCAACACGAATAATCAACACGCCATCTCGCTACGAAGAGATGGACGGGGAATCTCAGTCACAAAGCAAAGCAAAGTACCGTGAGAATACGTGCGCGAGGGTTTTCATCTGGAATCGCTTCCTTCCGGCCGTTTGCAGCAAACCATGCATGCATGCACGCACGCACTAACCAGTAATGCATGGAATCGATGGCCTCGCGTGGGCAGCCATGGAGTATACTCCCTCCGTTTGAAAATACTTGTCGAAGAAATAGATGCATCTAGATGTATTTTACTTCTAGATACATTCATTTTTATCCATTTCTACGAAAGTAATTCCGGACGAAGGGAGTATATATGAATCATGCATAAGCACACAGCTGATATATCTGCCTTAGTCGATCCTGGCCAATCTTCTCCTTGGTTGACATCAATCGATCGATCAACATGAGGGTGCTGAGGCATCATCATCATCAAGACTACTGCGCCTGCGTCCAGCACGCCAACGCCCCCACCACAGCTCAACACAGGTATAATCCCTTAATTCATTCCTCCCATCAAAGTAGACAGTATTACATTTTCTTTTGGTTATGCATTAACTGGGCGAATGTTTGGGGAACACATACATTTTCCAATGAAACTTTGGAGCTAGCGATGATCAACCCTTACGTCCAAAAAAGTTTACAATGTTCATACTACTAGTGCTAGAGTTACATACTTCATTACAAATCCATCCTTTAATTCTGCGCACATGCATCGAATTCAATTTCTAGGTGCAAAAGTGTAGTCGCCTTGTCCGAAAATATGCGGCGCGTATTTTGTTTGGTAGTATCTGAATTAGTACTATAAGTTAGCATTACTAGGATCAAGTTCAAATTTGTTTTCACGTTACTAGAGAAACAAATACTATCCATCTGAATTCCTCTCAAAACAAACTGCCCGGGCCCAATAATGAACCTCCAATTCTTGTCAAAGATGATTTCTGAGTGTACAATTAATATCCATTTCAGCTCTGTGACAACAGTAGCGCATGTCCAACAATTCTTGAACGAGTGGGAGATCCAGTGCTTGGTGTTGGTGAGCCTCTCCCTGCAAGTCTTCCTCCTCTTCTCGGCAGGCTTCCGGAAGCGCCACATCTCTCGCGTGCTCAGCGTGTTGTTATGGCTGGCCTATCTGTCGGCTGACTCCATAGCGGTCTACGTCCTCGGCCACCTCACGCTCCACACCGGCGAGGGCGACCCGCGTCACCAGCTGGTGCTTTTCTGGGCGCCCTTCCTGCTGCTACACCTTGGCGGGCAAGATACTATCACCGCCTTCTCCATGGAGGACTGCTCTCTGTGGAAGCGGCATCTGCTAAACCTGACAACCCAGTTGGCCATGGCCATCTACGTTGTGGGCAAGCAGTTGCGATGGGACAAGAAGCTTGTGGCTCCCATGGTGCTCATGTTTATCTCTGGGACGACCAAATATGCAGAGAGAATATGGGCGCTCAGGATAGCTGGCTCATGGGAACCCCGGATAAGAACTTCTGGCTTGGATATACACACAATGAATACAGAGCTCGCGTCAATGTTTTCGTCAGCAGAGGAAGATGTCGATCCCGGGCGCATCGTGGAGGTTGCTATGGGTATCGGTGCATTCCAGGAAAGCATCGGGTTCCTAATGGACGTGACACCGAAAAGGTATACCCGTGGAGCTTATTACAGCCAAGCAAAGGCAATTGTTGAGAAGGTTGCCAGGGGATTTACATCTTCCGGTAATGGAGCTGATTGGGCGTACAAGTTATCCGAGATCCGTCTCTCATTGATCTATGACCACCTCTACACAAAGTATGGGAGCCTCAAGCTCAAGGGTTTGTTCCTGTACCGGCTAACCACTCTTGCCATAACCTCTACGGCTCTCGCTTTCTTTGTTGTAGCCAGCAAGGGAGGCAGCTACAGTGGAGTTGATGTTTGGATAACTTACGTGTTGCTTGTGGGCGCCATGGCGTTGGAGATAGCCTCTGTCCTGATGTGGCTCATGTCATCATACTGGGCATACATGACCGCATTCTTGCATCTACGAGGCCGTCGTCGAAGCAAAGCCTCCCGATGTGCAGGTAGAATATTGCTGAGCACCGTCAAGCGTCTTCGTCCCCGTCCAGAAAGAAGATTGGAGTGGTCAGGAAAGATGCAGCAGTATAGCCTGATGGATGACTGCATCCAGGCCATGGCACAACGACCTGTCAACTGGCTACTACCACAGATGATGAAGCAAGGCTACACCAGCAAGCAAGTCGTCGTCTCTCCAGAGGTAAAGAAGGTGCTGCTTCATAAACTCTGCGAAATAGCCACCAGTCCGGATAGTATAGATAAGCTGGCATTCAGCGGCAGCTTCCGTGGAGAGTGGGCTGCATCTTGGGCAGCTTCTGGGGCTGGGGCTCAAACAGCTGGAAGTAGTGCAGCCCAACAGGCCCTGGTGGCCAGCAACATCCAAGATATGGATCTCGTGTCAAATGCCTTGCTTTGGCACCTGGTGACAGAGATATGCTTTATCATGTCCGAGTACGACGGCGACAAAAATGGCACACCTCCTAACTGCATGTTCAGAACCTGCAGCCAGCAACTGTCCAACTACGTGATGTATCTTGTCGCCCAGTGCAAGGTGATGCTCGATAGCGACGGACACAACACGCTACAGGAATGTCGAAGTGTGTTGAGCTTGAGCCAGCAAATTCATCACCGAAGCGCCGCCGTCGGCAATAATAAGAGGAAGGGGTTGGTGATGGGCATCCAAGACCCCGTATTTCGCACTGTTTTTTCATCTGATGATAAGGTAGCTGGCCATTTGATCATTGTGTTGGACGAGTTGCTTGCACCTGAATCTGTAATATCAGCAGCTCACAGGTGGGAGCTGATTGCGATGGTATGGGTGGAGATGGTTTGCTACATTGCACGCAACTGTGGTTCTGGCTTCCACGCCAAGCAGCTAAGCTCCGGCGGGGAGTTCCTCACTCATGTCCATCTCCTCGTCTTTCTTCTACGCACACACTAACTTTTTTTTTGTTTCTTTGCGAATCAATAGCTTTATTGATTACTCATCGGGGTTACAACAATTAATTGATCCAGAGACATCTCCTCCTCCGCTCTATAGCTTGCTGTGCACATCGATGGGCCACACCCGTCCAATGTAACAGAGGATCAACAGGTTATCTTCAACCAGCTGGATGACTATCTAGTGGTAGGAGTTGTGATTGAGTTATGTAATCTTGCTAGCACCCGGTTGTTCTCATCTTAATGCTCCTTTCTTACTTTCTGTAAGACATGTTGGCCACTGGATACTTTACTCTTAATAAATACTACTCCCTCCATTCCTTTATACAATGCCACAAACTCAGATTACAGATACCAAGGCAAAAATTAATTACTGCTTTGAGAGTTGACTTTCTTTTCACTAACGGGGATCATTGATACGCCGCTTTCAGAGCAAGTACAATAGTGGGCTATAAGCCGGCTTACATGGCACTTTTGCCCATGTGTAGGGAGAGAGACAGGAAAAAAATGACAGGGGTGGGCTAACATGCAAGAATCAGCCTCTATGCGTGCTACTAGGTAAAAGCATTTAATGAGAAAAAAGAGAGAGAAAATTAAAAAAAGTCTAACCTTATCGGAAATCCAACTCGCTGCCCAGGCTCATCTGCTCCCGGTCAGAAAAAAACAAATATTAGAAAATTTCAAAAAAAAAATTCTTTTTTTGTGTGGTAGATAATTTGATGCGTGAGGTCCCCTCCAAATTTCAACTCATTTGGACATCTCGGCAGCTCTAGGCAAAAAAGACAAACCGGGTCAGAACAGTGTGTGAACACTAAACTTTTTTACAGACCCGTTTTTGTCTTTTTCATCGAAAGCTACTCAAATGTCCAAATGAGTTGAAATTTAGAGCGGGCCTCACGCATCAAATTATCTATCACACAAAAAAACTGGATTTGTTTGAATTTTTCTAGTATTTTTTTATTTTTTTCGTCAGCGCGGGTGCAGCTGAGCCCGGGAGTAGTAACGATGTGTCCTAACCTTATAGTTGAAGGAAATATGCCCTAGAGGCAATAATAAAGTTATTATTTATTTCCTTATATCATGATAAATGTTTACTATTCATGCTAGAATTGTATTAACCGGAAACATAATACATGTGTGAATACATAGACAAACAGAGTGTCACTAGTATGCCTTTACTTGACTAGCTCGTTAATCGAAGATGGTTATGTTTCCTAACCATGAACAAAAGAGTTGTTATTTGATTAACGGGATCACATCATTAGAAGAATGATGTGATTGACATGACCCATTCCATTAGCTTAGCACCCGATCGTTTAGTATGTTGCTATTGCTTTCTTCATGACTTATACATGTTCCTATGAATATGAGATTATGCAACTCCCGTTTGTCGGAAGAACACTTTGTGTGCTACCAAACGTCACAACGTAACTGGGTAATTATAAAGGAGCTCTACAGGTGTCTCCAAAGGTACATGTTGGGTTGGCGTATTTTGAGATTAGGATTTGTCACTCCGATTGTCGGAGAGGTATCTCTGGGCCCTTTCGATACATCACATAAGCCTTGCAAGCATTGCAACTAATGAGTTAGTTGTGAGATGATGTATTACGGAACGAGTAAAGAGACTTGCCGGTAACGAGATTGAACTAGGTATTAAGATACCGACGATCGAATCTCGGGCAAGTAACATACCGATGACAAAGGGAACACCGTATGTTGTTATGCGGTCTGACCGATAAAGATCTTCATAGAATATGTGGGAGCCAATATGAGCATCCAGGTTCCGCTATTGGTTATTGACCGGAGACATGTCTCGGTCATGTCTACATTGTTCTCGAACCCGTAGGGTCTGCACGCTTAAGGTTTCGATGATAGTTATATTATGAGTTTATAAGTTTTGATGTACCGAAGGAGTTCGGAGTCCCGGATGACATCGGGGACATGACGAGGAGTCTCGAAATGGTCGAGACGTAAAGATCGATATATTGGACGACTATATTCGTACATCGGAAAGGTTCCGAGTGATTCGGGTATTTTCGGAGGTACCGGGGAGTTACGGGAATACGAGTTAGAAGCGATGGGCCTTAATGGGCCTTAGTGGGAAGGATCCGGAGGTGGCGCGCCCCCCTCCCAAGCCCAGTCCGAATTGGACAAGGGGTTTGGGGCGTGGCCCCTCTCTCCCTTCCTTCCCCTCTTCCCCTCTTTCCCCCCTTCTCCTAGTTGGACTAGGAAAGGAGGAAACCTACTCCAACTAGGAGTAGGAATCCTACTCCCCTGGCGCGCCCCTCCTAGGGCCGGCCTCCTCCCCCTTGCTCCTTTATATACGGGGGCAGGGGGCACCTCTAGACACACAAGTTGATCCTCGTGATCGTTTTCTTAGCCGTGTGCGGTGCCCCCCTCCACCATACTCCTCGATAATATTGTAGCGGTGCTTAGGCAAAGCCCTGCGACGGTAGAACATCAAGATCGTCACCACGCCGTCGTGCTGACGGAACTCTTCCCCGACACTTTGCTGGATCGGAGTCCGGGGATCGTCATCGAGCTGAACGTCTGCTAAAACTCGGAGGTGTCGTAGTTTCGGTGCTTGATCGGTCGGGCCGTGAAGACGTACGACTACATCAACCGCATTGTCATAACGCTTCCGCTGTCGGTCTACGAGGGTACGTAGACAACACTCTCCCCTCTCGTTGCTATGCATCACCATGATCTTGCATGTGCATAGGAATTTTTTTGAAATTACTACGTTCCCCAACAGTGGCATCCGAGCCTAGGTTTTATGCGTTGATGTTGTGCACGAGTAGAACACAAGTGAGTTGTGGGCGATATAAGTCATACTGCTTACCAGCATGTCATACTTTGGTTCGGTGGTATTGTTGGATGAAGCGGCCCAGACCGACATTACGCGTACGCTTACGCGAGACTGGTTCTACCGACGTGCTTTGCACACAGGTGGTTGGCGGGTGTCAGTTTCTCCAACTTTAGTTGAACCGAGTGTGGTTACGCCCGGTCCTTGCGAAGGTTAAAACAGCACCAACTTGACAAACTATCGTTGTGGTTTTGATGCGTAGGTAAGAACGGTTCTTGCTAAGCCCGTAGCAGCCACGTAAAACTTGCAACAACAAAGTAGAGGACGTCTAACCTGTTTTTGCAGGGCATGTTGTGATATGATATGGTCAAGACATGATGCTAAATTTTATTGTATGAGATGATCATGTTTTGTAACCGAGTTATCGGCAACTGGCAGGAGCCATATGGTTGTCGCTTTATTGTATGCAATGCAATCACGCTGTAATGCTTTACTTTATCACTAAGCGGTAGCAATAGTCGTGGAAGCATAAAATTGGTGAGACAACAATGATGCTACGATGGAGAACAAGGTGTCACGCCGGTGACGATGGTGATCATGACGGTACTTCGGAGATGGAGATCACAAGTACAAGATGATGATGACCATATCATATCACTTATATTGATTGCATGTGATGTTTATCTTTTATGCATCTTATCTTGCTTTGATTGACGGTAGCATTATAAGATGATCCCTCACTAAATTATCAAAGTATAAGTGTTCTCCCTGAGTATGCACCGTTGCGAAAATTCTTCGTGCTGAGACACCACGTGATGATCGGGTGTGATAGGCTCTACGTTCAAATACAACGGGTGCAAAACAGTTGCACACGCGGAATACTCAGGTTAAACTTGACTAGCCTAGCATATAACAGATATGGCCTCGGAACACGGTGACCGAAAGATCGAGCGTGAATCATATAGTAGATATGATCAACATAGTGATGTTCACCATTGAAACTACTCCATCTCACGTGATGATCGGACATGGTTTAGTTGATTTGGATCACGTGATCACTTAGAGGATTAGAGGGATGTCTATCTAAGTGAGAGTTCTTAAGTAATATGATTAATTAAACTTTAATTTATCATGAACTTAGTCCTGGTAGTATTAGCATATCTATGTTGTAGATCAATAGCTCGCGTTGTTGCTTTCATATGTTTATTTTGATATGTTCCTAGAGAAAATTGTGTTGAAAGATGTTAGTAGCAATGATGCGGATTGGATCCGTGATCTGAGGTTTATCCACATTGCTGCACAGAAGAATTATGTCCTTGATGAACCGCTGGGTGACAGACCTATTGCAGGAGCAGATGTAGACGTTATGAACGTTTGGCCAGTTTAATATGATGACTACTTGATAGTTTAGTGCACCATGCTTAACGGCTTAGAATCGGGACTTCAAAGGCGTTTTGAATGTCATGGACCATATGAGATGTTCCAGGAGTTGAATTTAATATTTCAAGCAAATACCCGAGTTGAGAGATATGAAGTCTCCAACAAGTTCTATAGCTAAAAGATGGAGGAGAATCGCTCAAAAGATGGAGGAGAATCGCTCAACTAGTGAGCATGTGCTCAGATTGTCTGGGTACTACAATTGCTTGAACCAAGTGGGAGTTAATCTTCTAGATAAAATAGTGATTGACAGAATTCTCTAGTCACCATCACCAAGTTAGTAGAACTTCGTGATGAACTATGATATGCAAGGGATAACGGAAACGATTCCCAAGCTCTTTGTAATGCTGAAATTGACGAAGGTAGAAATCGAGAAAAACATCAAGTGTTGATGGTAGACAAGACCACTAGTTTCAAGAAAAGGGCAGAGGAAAGAAGGGGAACTTCAAGAAGAACAGCAAGCAAGTTGCTGCTCAAGTGAAGAAGCCCAAGTCTGGTCCTAAGCCTGAGACTAAGTGCTTCTACTGCAAAGGGACTGGTCACTGGAAGCGGAACTACCCCAAGTGATTGGCGGATAAGAAGGATGGCAAAGTGAACATAAGTATATTTGATATACATGTTATTGATGTGTACTTTACTAGTGTTTATAGCAACCCCTCAGTATTTGATACTAGTTCAGTTGCTAAGATTAGTAACTCGAAACGGGAGTTGCAGAATAAACAGAGGCTAGTTAAGGGTGAAGTGACGATGTGTGTTGG